GATATTCCAACTATGAGTGGAGTGAAACAGCACAAACAGGCATTCTGATGCCTAGGTGTATTTCACCCATTTGTAGTGGTTTTGACATAATATGTTAATGACTAAATTTCACATATTTTTACTGAGAAATTGAAATAAATTTGATTTGATTTGATACCTCTTAAAAAATCACCCATTAGTTCAAAAATTATTTTCTTCGGGGATATTGCATACGGAAAAATGTTTCATCGAATGGAAAGCGCTGTCTCGCACTGGTTGTTCAATTGAGACCCTATTTGGTACATTCGCAGCGTTATTTACCAAATTAGTCTAAGTGCCGTCAGGTTTCAAATTAGTGGATCTTTTTAGCACGACGATTTTTTGTGGCTCATACCTATTCAAATAATCTTAACACTTCAAAGCATCTCGGGCACTGTAATACAAAGGAAGGTCTCGAAATGGAACTAGGCATCATCAAAAAAAACCTTCAACGGAAAGATTACTCCAGATTTTGGCCTGGAAGACAGCAAAGAAGAGGAGCCGTCACAACCAGGCCACTAAACGCAGGCTGCGATTTCAAGAAATACATTACCGGATACCCTGTGAGTGCGGTAAATCCTATATCGGTGAAACTGAGAGTCCATTGGAAGTTCGCATTGCTGAGCATAAGAGAAACACATAGCGAGGAGAAACCAGTAAATTCGGAATGACAGAGCATGTTTGGACTCTTCAACATAACATTAAGTGGTCCCAAGATGGGATCATCCACAGAAAGGAACACTGGTTCAAGGGGAAGTTTAAAGGAGCTGCATAAATTTTGTCCAATGACGCATTCGGACAGGCTAGCGTAGGGATACGCAACAAATGGAAACGTGTAATCAAGCGGGAATGCAGTTAACTCCTGCTAAACCGGTGAAATGGAAAAGGTGGAGAGGATGGGTGAAAGATTTCGATTGTCCTATAAATAGTCATCTTTCGAAGGAATATTGTCTGTGAACATTGCCGTTCAAAAAAATGTACATTCGTCACTAAAACAAATATTGTGGAGATAGGTAGGATGCCTTGCAATGGTTTCCATCATGATTTCGCAGAATTCTGTTCTTCGATCAGGGTCGTCTTCAGTTAATTGGTGTACCATTTTAATTTTGTATGATTGATACCTATTCCTCTTCAAAAGTCTCCACACAGTAGAAGGAGACACCTCACAAACATTCGCGACGGAATAAGTAGACTGTTCAGGATTTACTACCATCTCACCAATTATTTGCACTTGCCGTTCTTTCGGAATGGACTGATGATCTAAGGGCTTTCTGTAATGTACACTACCGGTAGTTGTGAATTTGGATACAAGTTTCCTGAAATATTTTCTACAGGTAGGACGATTTGGAAAACGTTCATTGAAAATCCTTTCGATCTCGTGAAAATTACGCATCGCACACCGTAAATAAAAATCGCTTCAATTTTCTCTTCCAATGGACGAGAATTGATCATTTTAGAGATTGTTGGCGTGGTACCTTTCTACTGATAAAACCGAAAACTGAATGAGGATATTCCAACTGAACAATGATGTTCAATGTCGTTGAACATTTTTGTTCAACGTTTTGTTTTGTTGTTTTGACTTTTTATAAACAAAAAATGACTTAACAAACCTTATCGGGTTGTTGGAACCGCCATATGGCAGATAAAAAGGAATAATTCTAGAAATACCGATATTAATGTGTTTGTCTTCAGAAAATTATTAAATGTTCCGCCATTTTGTAGTAGGTGAAGATATTGACTTCATATTCTTTCCATTCAATTTTGTTCCCAGATGGCGCCCAGTCGCTAGCTTGAAAGTTGCATCTGTCAATTCCACTTCCAAATAAAGTATTGTTCACCTACGAAAATGTTTTGATCCCTTTCCCACCTGATGAAAAAAAAAAACAACCGAAAACTATCACTACTAATAGAGGAAATCAAACAAATATTCCACTATTTCCAACGTATCCTTTAGCGTAACAGTACAGATAAAACTGGATACATACTCGCCGGACGAACATCCATCTTTGTTGTCCGTCTCGATATTGCTGCTATTCCATCAAACACTGTGATCGAGTGCGTCATGGAATGGACATTTGTTGTTTATTATAGGAGCGGTCAGAGCAGAATCGTTCACCAGATTGCCGCCTCCGCTCCACCCCGCGACGATGACGGATTCGAGAATGGCAGCCGGAGATGGGACGGAGTGCGTCCCGAATACGACTGCTGACGATGACCTTGACCTCGACTCGGAGATGGGTAAGTTTTCCAAGTGGTCTTCGTCATATTAGTACAATTAACTTAGCACCCCATTAGTACACCAAATTCGTACAATCAACTCTAAATTCATCAATAAATAATTCCCATATATCAATTCGTTCATTCGTTTATTCATTATTTAGTCTATTCATGCATGCTTCCATTCATTAACGTATTCATTTATTCACCCATGTATTCATTCATTCATTCAATTCGTTCGTTCATTCGTTCGTTCGTTCGTTTGTTCGTTCGTTCGATCGTTCGATCGTTTGTTAGGTCGTTCGTTCGTTCGTTCGTTCGTTTGTTCGTTGGTTCGTTCGTTCGTTCTTTCGTTCGTTCGTTCGTTCGTTGGTCATTCGTTCTTTCGTTCGTTCGTTCGTTCGTTCGTTCGTTCGTTCGTTCGTTCATTCGTTCGTTCATTCGTTCGTTCGTTCGTTCGTTCATTCGTTCGTTCATTCGTTCGTTCGCTCGTTCGTTCATTCGTTAGTTCTTTCGTTCGTTCGTCCATTCGTTCGTTCGTTCGTTCGTTCGTTCATTCGTTAGTTAGTTAGTTAGTTAGTTAGTTAGTTGCACTTGGATCAGACATTCTGTAGATTCTGAGTTCAAACGGCACTCACGTTATGGGTAGCCGGCCAGCCAACAACTGAAACGCAAAAAAAAATGGATTATTCATTAGGCCAACATCACAAATAAGTCTGCAAAAAAATCAGAACTGCCGAACATCAAAAACTAGTCCTTTAGGGTTATTATAGCCAAAATTGGAGGAAAAAAACAATTTTTCGCGGTTTTTCGATTTTTTGACAAAGTTGTGTAAGGCGCCCGAGGTCACAAACTTTGATTATCCATTAGGCCAATATAAAAAATAAGTCTGCAAAAAATCATAACTGCCGAATATCAAAAACTAGTCCTTTAGGGTTAATATCGCTAAAATTGGAGGAAAAAACCTGATTTTTCGCGGTTTTTTTCGATTTTTTGACAAAGTTGTGTACGGCGCCCGAGTTCACAAACTTGGATTATCCATTAGGCCAATATAAAAAATAATTCAGCAAAAAATCATAACTGCCGAATATCAAAAACTGGTCCTTTAGGGTTATTATAGCCAAAATTGGAGGAAAAAACTATTTTTCGCGGTTTTTCGATTTTTTGAAAAAGTTGTGTAAGGCGCCCGAGGTGACAAACTTTGACTATCCATTAGGCCAATATAAAAAATAAGTCTGCAAAAAATCATAACTGCCGAATAACAAAAACTAGTCCTTTAGGGTTAATATCGCTAAAATTGGAGGAAAAAACCTGATTTTTCGCGGTTTTTTTCGATTTTTTGACAGTTGTGTACGGCGCCCGAGGTCACAAACTTGAATTATCCATTAGGCCAATATCAAAAATAAGTCTGCAAAAAATCAGAACTACCGAATTTGACGCATATCACCCCATACTTTCACGCGACAAAGTTACTGGATTATAATGTATTTTCACAGGATTAGAGCTTGTAATCATTAAGTCAGTATCTGTTAACGAACTTGAATGACTAGTAATTGGTATTTTGACATTGTGAAGAGTCAAATCATCAAAAGAATCAAACCGGCGTAACTCTTACGAAGTGGGAGATTGCTCTTCATTTGAAAATCCGCCCAAAACTTCAATCAACCCGGAACTATTGAAAACCTTGTTGTGCAAAATACTTTGTCGTTGAATCCAAATACAGATTTTGAAAATTTTCTCCACCCCCCTCTCGACAAATTCCAATTATCTTTCTGCAAATCATCGATAATGCAGAAGGAATCCGATTCAAATCTGTATCCATTACAAGGACTCATCTGTCATGAACGTTCAATCACCGGATATCTGGTGTACGTTCCTTTCGATCCAACAGTTCAGGAATTGAATCCTGTTTAGCGAGAGGATTTATCAGCCGGAAATATGCACGTCGTTTCAGATGACACAACAAAACTGATAAATAAATCAGACTTGATTGATAATATGCAGGTTCGGCAGTACGATTTCCTTCATTTTAGTTAGTGCTTTCAGGGTCGTGTTCGAATTACATATCTGAATGACAAAATGGTTTAGACTTTCATGGCTGAAGTTTTCAGTGTCACTGTTTTTCGAGTTTGAAAGCCGTGGATTTTTGGAATTTCGAAACGTCAGGAAGAAATTCCAAAAATCTGCGGGGTTCAAACTCGAAAAACAGTGACCCTATGTATCTGAATGTCGCTGGTAAATGAGGGATTGGATCATTTTCACAATATTCAATAATGAACATGACTCATGGCGTGGTGAGTATTGGTGAGTAAAAGAACAAAGAATATAATCCAGAGCAATTTTCAGTCGATGGCGTATTCTTGTTCAATTGCTGGGAAAACCCTGGAGAAACCCACAGCTTCATCTGGAGTAGAAATACTTCACTATCCTATTCATGATGTTTTTCGTGAAGTAGAGTAACTGGAAAGTCAGTTGAACTGTATTTCCGCACTTAAAAGCTTCATTCACCAAAGCATTATTATACTCGCACCTTTCGTAAAGTTATTATCCTGAATTCCACCAAATCACTACAAGTTCTATAGTTTCCTTCTATCAAAAACTCAGGCTACAAACAAACATCCAAAAGACGTCTTTTAAGATCCAAACTGACCGTCGAAATTTTTTGATGCACCACATACACTGCAAAGCAAATCCGCTATCGGCTTATCTTTAAACTCATGGCAAAGGATTTTTTCCGTCATGCTGTACAACAAGAGAAATATCCACTATTTTCTCCGGCGTAACGGGATTCACTCAACAGAACGATTTGAGAAACAAATATGCCTGTTGGTTTACAAAATATGACCCAACAACGTAGAGATACGAATATAACCATCGTCCTCGCAGTCATAGCACATACCACTGATGGTGTCTGCCGCAGTAGTAGACGAAACGTTTCGTACCTCACGTTTCTTTCGTTCATTAACAACACCCACCTGCCCTTGTAGTTATAGACTTGTTTAGGAACATACTTGTAATATATTTCAATTCTAATGTAATTCATATCAATAACTTCTTGAATGAACAAAAAGAAAGAAAGGAATTCCAAATTATTGTTTTTATTCTACACATTTATGATTGTGTAGTATTTCCAAAGTCCTCTTCTTTATCGTCTTCAACTACATTTTTTTTCAGGCCTTCCATGATTTCGAGGTCAAAGGTTCTGTCTTCATTGATATAATTTGATAACATTTAAGAATTGAGGCAGAAACGTTTCTTTGACTTTTCAAAGATATGATTGAAATATAATTGAAATTTGTCTTCTGATCATTTTTCAATCATAGGAATCGTTATAACTCTTATTGAATAGATAGAAATTATTAAATATAATGTATTTAAAATGGTTAATAAATCCACTCTACTGATATGAATTACTCATTTCAAATCAGATAGTTCATGTCTATCATTTTCGGTTTCAATGATTTCAAAATTGAACATCAAGGCCTTCTGAATAATGAAATACAGGGTGCAACTGAATAAGTGTAAAACATGTAAGGAGGTGATTCCTCATCGAAAAAAAGATAGGATCTTTCATACAAAGAGACTTCATTGGAGCATCATTGGAGGTGTATCATTGGATACACCCCCTTAAAGGGGGTACATAAAATTTGTAAAACAGTTTTTCTCAGAAGCTCTGAAAAAGTTACAATATTGAAATCAATTCTTCCTCGATCTATCCACTGATTTGCATATGTTTCAGTTAAATGCTGACGTGCTACTTGACTAAAATGGTCGGGAGCCCCATCATGCATAAAAAACATGTCCTTTCTGACGCCCAAAGGAACTTACTCCAGCAGTACTGGATGCATTTCTCTTAATAATTGTACGTATTGCTCACCATTTAATCGAGGATGTAGAAAATGAGGCCCAATTAAATCATCCCCAATAACTCTGAGCCTCACGTTAAGAGAAAACTGTTCTTGATGGTTAGTTTCGACAATAGCGTGAGGGTTTTCATTAGCCCATATGTGGTAATTATGAAAATTAATAATCTTGTCCAGAGAAAAACTACATTCGTCTGTGAATTCTATCGTCATCAGAAAGTCACAATTTCTTCAAATCATTTCATTTCCAGCATCCAATTGCAAAATTCAAGACGGTTTGGAAAGTCTCGCGGTAACAGTGGCTGTACTCGTTGCAGGTGGTAAGGGTATAAGAGTTGTTCTTTTAAAATTCGAAATACCGTCATATGATCAACATTTAGCTGGAAAGCAATCTTTCTAGTACTGGTAGTAGGTTGTTCTTTAATCAAATTAAGTACTGCTTCCTCGAGCTGTGGTGTTCGTACTTCTCGATGGCGACCACAATCCTGCGTTCTTTTGTCGAATGAACCATATTCTCGTAATCGTTGATGAAGTCGAGTAAATATTCTATGTGAAGGATGCTGCCGTTGAGGATACACTTCAGCATATCTTCTAGAAGCTTATAACCCATTCCTTTGCGACAGACCGTAAGCGTAATGCATATCAGCCATTTCCTCATTTGTGTATGCCATTTTAATAACAAGTGAATTATTAAAGTAACAAATTAAGAACTTAACAACAACACACAATTAGTATCAATTCAATTTCGAAAATCACAAACTGACAGCGTCATACCAATTTAATTGTCACTATCGCTAATAGCGACCTACTAGATAGATTAGTTTCGTATTTTCGCATTTATGACGATGTATCTCTGTAGTTGTTCCACAAATAATTTTTTGCTGCGAACTGCTTTATTTTGGGCAAAAAACTCATTTTTTGTTTGGAATGAAACAGCCTATCGGAAATAAATGTTTAAATGGTAAACAAATGATAAGAAAAAAAGTTAAATCGGAAATGAATTTTAGGGGTTGCGTTTTCCACCCCTTACAACCATGGGGTAAAACAAATAAATTTCTGGCTAAGTGTCTTTTGGGAATTACAAAACGTCAGGTTAATTTCTGGGCTGTATCTTAACAAGGGATGCTCCAATGAAATTTCTCTATATGAATATACCCTGTATATTTATAAAGAAGATCCTTTGTAACAACTCCGGTCCTGTATGCGATGTAAAATTCCGCGGTTCGCAACTCCGCCTCTAATATATGTTCTCGTAAATGACAACTATTTCAACGCGCACCATCCATCCATCATTTTTTTTAGAGTCGACGGCATACACCTCTAATTAATAGACACATTCAGCTCTCAGTGGCGTTAACAATGAAGGGAATTTCCTAGACAAAAGCAATTATGGGAGTTATTTCTTGGGGGCAGCCAAAAAAAAAAAAACTGATGAACATTCGTCCGAATGAAATACAAAAAACATGTTTCAATATTGCACCTCAACAGTTCAAATTGCTTCAATGAGGACAAAATCTGGTATGTATCAGTGGTATGTGCGAGACATAACTTCCGACCTCGCAGTCAACACGTGTACCACTGACGACGCCTGACTCATAAAAATCTGCCAACAAACCCAGAAAATATCTTCGACATAATCTGATAGATTTTCTACAACTGTAGAGGTCTTATTAAAAATTTTCTATGAATCTATGACTAACAATGTTTTCTGATCAACAGATGGCCTCGACGAAGAGAGCGAGGAGCTCCTCCAACGTCTAGCCACCCGCCATTACTACAGCTACACTGCCGCCCTTGGAGTCACCGTAGGCGTAGGCTGCCTCCTTCTAGTCCTCAACATGCTCATCTTCGCCGGCATCTACTACCAACGAGAGCGCGACAAGAGGCGACAAAACCCCACCAGGTCGCACCACGCCCGCAGCAACTCCACCCCCTCCACGGAGACGATCCCCATGTCCCAGCGACCTTCCACGCCGGGAAGCTCAGCAAGACAGTCTCCGGTAATGACTAAGAAGGAGAAACACGAGCTGCCGCCGTCCTACACAATCGTCCCCAGCAGTCCTTTCCAGGACTGCCCCACGTTGCAGAGGAAGGAAAAGCCTCCGCCCCCGATGAGGACTTCTAGTAACCTCTCTTCTGGGGGTACGGTGAAGAAGAGGGTGCAGATCCAGGAGATATCGGTATAGCACTCGGAGAGGGGTGGTACTTGCTCCAAAAGGCCTGATGTCACCCCTGAGCCAGAGTTTGACCAGTGCGATTTGGTGTCTGTTCAATTATAACGGGACAAAGTGTGTGTGATTGTTTATATCGAGTAGGTAGTTTTTGAAATTTTCCATCTTTGTACATAGACATTTCGTATGAAGTTCGTTGGTAGGTGAGACTGGGATAGGGTTGGGGTTTCCTCTCTCACGGTGTATGTGGTTATTGTTTTATTCTTCCGTGGCTTGATCCTCGAATTTTTACAGTGTGTCGTTTGAAAGAAATGCTCTTGGTATCTCGAGGACTATGAGGAAAATCTGTACCACGTTCTAAATTACAGTTTGGAACCAATAAAATAACAAATATCAATTATGAATTAGTGAAGTAGCAAAAGTATGTCGAAATTCAAATTTATTATTTAAAGCACCAGTCCTCGAACTCTATAAGGATTGTGTTGACCTTTTCGGATAGTCTTTCAGATGAAGTATCTGACACAGTAATGCAAGTATCATCTGCATAAATAAGCACCCTTCCTTGAGATATGTGAATGGGAAAGTCGTTAATGAAAATGAGGAAAATTAGAGGACCGAGTATGCTTCCCTGGGGTGTACCAATATCTGTTTCAAATTCCTCCGAGATGACGTCATCAATCTTAACAATGAACTTTCTTCGTTCGAAGAAGGACACGATCCAATCATTGATTGGGTCGCGGACACCAAGATTATTCAATTTATCAGATATGAAATAAATATCGACCGAGTCGAAAGTTCTAGTACGATCAAAGAAAATTGAGATCACAAATCCATTTTGTGTCCAAGTGAAACATCACAGATACCGAAGAAATAACTATATATGAAGCCAGATGATTTCTGGGATTCACTAGATTCTTCGAGACATTCATATCAAACCGTGCAATTATCGCAAGCTCCTGAGTAAACTTACCAGAAACAAATCATTCTACTGCCAAAACTCTTTCCAACAACTGGAATACTGTTCATTAAAATATCCTGTTTCGAATCTCTATGACCGTTATACTGATATAGAGTTGCCTTTGTGATAAGAATTGCTGGAATGTTACTACAAACTGATGAAGAAAGCAGAGAAAAGCATGTTTGTCGAGTTTCTGAAGCAAACAACTGAGTGCAAAGGAGATTCATCAAAAGTGAAACTTTTGGTGAAAATTTAGTGTTGAAAAGCTCCGCCAATTATTGACTGTTCCGAATGGATAACAAAGTCTCACTTTGGCTTTTGGAATACTGAAAAAAGAATTAGGCAGTACTGATTATTCACTGTAGTTTCTTCTTCAGCAGGTTTGTACTATCATCCCTGCTGAATATTTGCCAGTTAAATACTTCTATCGTGGGTTAACGTGTAACTTGGTTGGTTAACAAAATTGACCAGCACTTTGCAATCCCTCAGACCCAGTCTGAGGCTATTACAAATTATGAACATACAAAAAAACGGCAAGAATATTTGGAACGTACTTATAGTGTCTCATTTCAGTACCAAATTTTAGCACATATTTATCAAATTCCAATTTTGACGGTTTTTTCGTCATATCTTAGTCAGTTTCAGAGTTATCCAGTTGTCAAGCTGGGGTCTGGAGTTCAATATACCACCATATTTTTTATTGCAAATGAATTTCTGTATGCGTGTATAACTCGAGTGTGAGGAAAAAAACAATCTTAGTGACTTATAAGGTAGCCAGTGATAACTGATGGAAAAATATCTCGTGATATTGAAATTGGATGCACTACCATCTGTAGTATCCTCAAAGAGTTACAGACAGACAACGGTTTGAAATGAAACAAAAACAATCTGAAAATTGGAGAAATGAAAATAATTATTATGTAATACCAAAAAACTTGAAGTTTATCAATACGGTTGGACGTATATTTGAATTATTTCATTCATCAACAGATTTTTTCTTGATTTGGTACAGATTTTCCAACAGTTTTTAGGATACATGGGGTGATTTATGATATTCTTCAAAATTTTGGTATGCCAAGACTCATGAAGACTCTCCTGTGAGTCTGTTTTTACTAGTGAAGTGATCCAGAGCAATAGACAGCTACAGGGCGGAATATTCCTCCAAAATCTTCTTCAATTTCAAAATTCAGGATATTAAATTTTGACACCCTAGAGAGAAACCAGCATTTCTCAATTTCGAATCAGGGATTTTATATTGTTAATGCACAAGTTTGAATAATTTCATTTCGTACAATGCAACACGAACCAAATTCTATTATCTGTTTGTTTTCAGAACAAATGAAAATTTTTTAAAATATTTTCTGTGAATTTCCTCTGCAATTTTTCCAAAATAATCCAAGGAGTTTCTATTATAGTTTCACTATTTTGACACTTCTAATTCCTCATAAGTTTTTGTTTTCGGAAGTGATTAAAAATATACTGGGGTGTCTATTGAATTTTCAATAGTCACTTTTAGAGTATTTGAAAAACGAAAATACTCTTCGAGAAAATTTTAACCTAAGAGGAGCACACTTCAAAAAGAGGCGTGTCTTTCCAAAGCTTTGGTTTGAATACAAATTTTATCTTGAAAAAAAATGTTTTGTAATATCCAAGGTGTTGGTTCTTTTTTGAATATTTTTGTGAATCCGCAATTAAATAAGTTCACTGATGTTAGAAAATAAATCAATGAAGACCATATTTGTACCCGCATTCGAATGTAATATTTAGTACATATTTGCCATATCTAAAAACGTGCACATCCATTTCTAGAAATCATTTTGTTTTTGTGTATTTTTAGTCTAGTGCACGTGACTTTTTAACAAGCGGATTCCTGACGATTTCAACCTGTAAATAATGATTTTGTACATAACAGATTGAATAAAATGAATATAAACACAATGGTTGTTTCATTCATGTTTTACATTGTTTTTTACCTGCTCCGCTGCCAAATTAAACATAATATCCTCATATATCTTAAATAACTGATGGCGTTCCAAAATCCTCTTTTGGAAAGGACAAATCTCAGAACAATGAGATATTCTATGGCTTTCGAAAATTTTGTTTATTGGGGACAAATAAACCAGGGGAGCAATGAAGACCTGGAAAATATTGAAATACACTCTCTAGAAGAAATACAGAGGTTATTTAAAAAAGTTTGTCCGTTTTTATGTGTCTTCTCCAAACTGTATATCTCAATGAATAATTTGGCATTTGTGACATTTGACAGTGTCAATGACATTTGATCGAATGAGCGTCATTTGAATCAGTTGACTTTTGCCAACATAAGTCGATTAATTTCGTCTGCATGAACATATGGTGCTCGGAATTCGATGAAGTCGATGATGGTCATTTTTGACGGTTCTAATTTACGACGGTTCCACTGTTAACAAAGTTATCAGAGTGCTTGAAAAGATAGTAGTCGGTTGGCGAAAGTTCTCAATTGGATTGAAAAATTGGAGGGTGATTTATGAAACGTGTGGACGGGAGTTGTCGTGGAGCCGGATCGGACCTCTTCTGTTGACCAGTGCCGGGCTGCTACAGATGCAATTTCCGGTACATTTCGGCGATTTTGCCACAATGGGTTAGGTTAGGTTAGATTAGGTCCAAAGTGAGTTGGTTTATTCGACCCATCGCCGCAACCCGCAAGAATCCACTTCTCATCACACGTAACGATCCCATCTGAAAAAGGATCGCTTTGGTTGCGTAAAGGCAACGAAGGACAGACTTTGAAAGGTGTCAATTTCTGTGGATCGTTCAAACTGTGGAGCTCTCACTTTTCAAGCTGTTTCTATACTAAACCATCAAGAACCGCATAGAACGTACCACGTACCGTTTGTGACGGGTCAGTTTCCACCAATGTCCTCAAAACTGAAAGTCCACCACTTCGAGACTCATCTTCAAGGCTAAAACGTACGAAACGAAATTTCGCAACCAACGTCGAATAGTGCTTCCATTAAAACTGTCATTGCTCAATGCCTGGTTAATTTTACGGGCTGTTTCAACAGCGCTTTGGTTCAATTTGAATTCGTAGACAAAATTGGACAAAAATCTCTGTACAGAGTTCAAAATTATCTACTGATCAGTATATACCAGGACATAGTAGAATACATATTTATTGGTATGTGAAGCAACAAAAGCTCATGACATTGACATGGACCAAACCCTTCAAACAACCTAATGAATGAAAATATCAATATTGTTATGGATGTTCATTAGGAATCGACCAATTCCATCATATAACATTGTATACGACAAGTTCTCGCGAAAATTTTCACGGAAAATCCTTCATCTTCACTTTTGTCAATTAAGTGGTGAAGTTTAATAATTCGTCTTTCTGAAAAAGATGTGTGTCTCCTCACTTTTGCGTGATTACGACATGGAATAAGGCAGAAGGAGTTCCTAACTTTTATAACAGTTTCCTTAATGGCAACTATGATCAAAGCGGTCAAGTGACAATAAAAAATTCATCGAAAAAGCAATAAAAGACTTTGGTGAAGACATTGAGTGTTGCTTTCAGGCTTCGCGGCCAGAAGTATCATCGCAGAAAGTTGTCGAAAACTTTTTTATGAAGTTCATAAAAAGTTACGGCAAGTTTCTCCCATCTGGGAGTTGCGTACAGTTTTTCTGTATTTGTGGCGAATATTCCATTTTTCATATCTTCAACCACTCCAAAGAGAAAAACTCATGAAAAGTAAATTATTGGCTTCAGCAACTCCGGATCGCTAACATCTGGCGTTATGAGATGTTGAGTGAAAGTTTAAGACAGCGATCATCGTATTATTTCTGGTGTGTGAGAATTCCATTTTATAACAGTTCACAAAACTACAACATGTACTTGGCTATAAAACAACTTTCTCAGGCATATTCATACTTATTGTATTTTAACACATGGGTTGAAATGTCCTGGGCCTGAGAAAGAAAACAGAAGCTAACCTAACCTAACCCAACCTAACCTAACCTAACCCAACCTAACCTGACCTAACCTAACCTAACCTAACCTAACCCAACCTAACCTAACCTAACACAACCTAACCTAACCTCACCTCACCTAACCTAACCTAACCTAACCTTACCTACCTAATTAGTACTTCAACATACGGGCTGAAGTCCTAGGCCTAAGAAAAGCCTAGGACTTCAGTTTTTTTGTTCAAAATGTAATCTCCATGTAATAATAATGTAATTGTTTTTGATCCATTGTTTCAAAAATAAAAAAAATAAGACCCGAAACTTTCCAGCTTATGTAGTATATAATAGATAAATTAAAATCACACCCGTTTTACTTTCAATTCAATTTCATCGGAGTTTGAATAAAAGCTAAATAAATTTAAACATCAAAAAAGATATATTACCAACTCGTTGAATGAAAATGTATTGAATTAATCACCATTAGAAAACTTAACAGAGGGAAATAATTCAATTCGATTTGGTGTAATTCAGTAAATTTTCTACATCTAATAATTTCTTCCACATCTACAAATTTCTGAGCAATCCAAAAAATTGAAACATATCTCTTCCAAATGTAATTCGTCATGGTAGTGATTGAGCTCATGTCCTTTTGTCAAAAGGTTTGCGAATGGGAAATCGGTATTCTCACTTAAGAAACTACTCCTATGTTCTGTTATTCTTTGGGTAAAGGTTCTCCCCGTTTGTCATATATGAAGTATTCAGCAAGAACCACCAGTCAACTCATATACTTCTGATTTATGTGCATTTTGGGAGACATACTTATTGGACTAGTTATCTTGACATCAAGGATTGAATGTTACAATAAATCAATTACACAGCAATTGTCCAAGATTTTCTACGATTCTTTAGGAAACTGAACAAAATCTTTATTAAATTTGAGGTTCCCACTAGGAAATCTAGAGGTCACCCGGTGTTTGGTTGACATCCATTGAACAACACGTGTTTGCTACGCCATCTCTTTGACAGAAGTCGAATGTAGTGGAAAAAACTAGGCCTAGATTCCTGTCATATGTGTTGCCTGCTAACAATAATTAGTTTTCCATTACGTTAATAGAGGTCGATATATGCCTCATTTTCCTGTTGAATATGACTCCAAAATTTTAAAGAAGTTATCATGTTTTTGAATCGTGATAGAAACACTGTAATTGAATGTAGGAGCAGCGGTATCATGGATGTGCGATGATTTGTAAAATGGGCTTCTGATACAAGTACTTTGGGAAAAAAACATCGATAGGCAGGCTTCCGCTGTCACTGTACAAAAAATACTTTTGGAAAAGGCATGTAAAAACATTCATGAAATATTTTTTATCTCGTGCTATAACATTATAGGTTACAAGTCCGCTGGCTTTCAACAAAAAAACTGTTGAAGTCATGTGAAAATGTTCAAAAAGTCTTCTTCATATTTCTTTGAATGACCGTAGAAAACATGAAACAAGTTCAAACTTCTTCTTTTTGTATAAAATTTTTTGATAGAGGCCCGCTTTCACTGAACGAAAATACTGTTGGAAAGAGCATGTGAAAACATTCACAAATTAGCTTTTTACCTTAGAAGACGACACAAATTGATGTTTTACTGAAAATATTTCTAATTGAGTTCCGCTGCCAATGAACAAGAAACGCCATTGAAAAGAGCATGTGAAAAGCCTTAAGAATTCTTAGGCTTAGGCCTTGTTTGTTGCCACAAAACAAAAAATTGTGTTGAAAGGAGCGTATAAAAACATTCACAAATCAGCTTTCAGCATTTTACCGTAGAAGACGACAGAAATTGGAAATTTCCTTGTACTATAAACATTTCTGATTTCACAAAAAATAATCAGTTGAAGAGAGCATGAGGAAATATGCATAGAAAAACGAAAAAATGTTTAGCCTTCCGCAAACAAATACATTTTCCCCATCATGGAAACACTGTGGGAATGTATTTTTAATGGAATCTCGATTAGGTCTACTTGATTTTGTAGCCATTCCACTTCTTGTATTTTTTTAAAGAAATAAAGTGAAACTGACAGTGTATTTACTCGAGGACTAATATTTCATCTGTTAATAGATTGTTTCAAAAGTTTTGACCGTTTTAATGTCACGTTTTTGTAGCTCGAAATCTCAATAAGTATTTATTCTACTATATCGAAGAATATACTGATCGATAGAGAATTTTCTACTCTATACATTGATGCTGTTAATTTTTTCCAAATCTTAATTTTCTGCCTCTTTTCAGCTTACTAGAATATGATGTCATTTAGCAACTTTTGGCCAAATTTTATTTCAAGGAGAGGAAATTGGCCATCAAAAAAAGTGCGTGGTTGGTGAAACACCCAATTGTTATAAAGTGAGAGATGGATATCTCTCAAATACTACCATCAACACTGGTGTTCCTCAGGGATCCATATTGCCACCAACCCTTTTTTTATTGTATATCAACGATATATCAACATTTGAATTCCAGGACATCGGCAAAGGTTGGAGATTTATCTTTCTTCTATAGATACTTTCAATACTTGTGATTGGAATAAAGAATCTTTTGAAAATGTATTCATTTGTGAAAATGTATACATATTATGGATCGAAAATACTCATCTAGCTAACTAACTTACAGCTAACTTATTTCTTGATTCCGTGTTTTCTTGTCAGAATTTGGTGAACTAACTGAAAACAGCTATGACGAAAAATATATTTTCTCAGTGGAAAAAGTTATAATTTGTGCGAGAAAATGTATAGGCTAAGGTGGAACAATGTGTGATAGAGATGTTTCGAATAAAGTCATGTATATTCCGATTTTTTCTGATGCAAATTGGAAGGTATAAAATATGACCTTCGATCTTCGCAGGTCCTAAATTCGGTATGGAGATAGAGTGCCACGTTCTCACTTCAGAATCGTAGCATGCTTCTCATTTTACCTAAGTATTACCTGACAAATATTCACCGAGCGAATGAATATTTCCAAAGGGTAAATATTCGTTTAGAGGGCACCCGACGTTTTTGAAAAAATTTTTGAGTGTAGGTACTTACGTATTTTGATGCGTCGATTACGAATCCGAAAGAAAAAAGCGGCGCTCTCCCTTATTTACAAAGTTACGGCCCTTCAAAGTTCAGAAAAGGGCAACTTTTCAGCCTTCTTTTTCACAAAATAAACTATTTAAAAACACAAGCATGTATTCACTAGGTCACCTTTACACCTTATTCCTCCTTCCTTGACACTTTTCACTTCAACAATTAACATTTTTCCAATAAAAATGTTAAAATATATACGGAGCTGCTTTTTGGTTATATACCTCTGTATTTTACGTTTTCAAGGTTAATGACATAGTTGGTACGACTGATGCTGTCAATATTCTTAAAGTATTTCAAATGTTTCTTGTCTTCATTCTTAAGATTGTGAATTGGTTTTTAGTGGTCGTATTAATGAAGACAAAAAACATTTGACTTACTTTAGGAATTTTGACAGCATCAGTCGTACCAAGTATGCCATTAACCTTAAAAACGTAAAATACAGAGATATATAACCAAAAAGCAGCTTCGTTCATTTTTCAACATTTTCATTGAAAAAATGTTGATTGTTGAAGTGAAAAGTGTCAAGGAATGAGGAATAAGATGCAAAGGTGCCCTAGTGAATAAAAATGCTTGTGTCTTATGAAAAAGAAGAGCCGTAACTTTGTAAATAAGGGAGAGTGCCGCTTTTTTTCTTTCGGTTTCGTAATCTACGCATCAAAATACGTAAGTACCCTCAAACCGATTTACCTACCAAAGTTAGCCGTAGATATACCATCCTGTAGATATACCATCCCTGTAGATATACCATCATTGACACTTTCGCCCCGCCCTGTATCTTCTTCCATGAGGTGAGTAATCCGGCCCAGCTGGTAAATCCGTCGGTCCGCAGAATCACAACACCCATCGAACTGCTCACAAAAGAGCCCTCGGGCAACCTTTATTCTCGCTACGAGAGAGGAACCGAAAGCAGAAAGCAGTCTGGTCGGTCGTACCATCGCTTCAGTACCCCGTAACATGTTGAACGACTTGGCCAGCCGTTTCCGTGAATCTATCATTTTAATTTACAACACACCATCATAAAACATCTAGCTGGCCGAGCAGCGACAAAAGAAGTACCACCCGGTGGGAGGTGGAAATTTATCTGTGATATGAATGTAATGAAGATTCTGTGAAGTTGTGATAAAGTCAAGAAAACCAACTCGAGCTGTTTATGGCGTGGTGTTACCGCGAAACTTGTTAAATAACAGTGAAGGTCGAGACGAAGATAAAAAGTGATATTACATCGCTATTTTCGCATGAGTGACAGTGTTGAATATTCCAATTTTAAAAGCAGCATAGTTGGATTACCTTTGTTATCTGTTGACAACTACCTGGATTTTTAAACATGGTAAGTGGATCTGTTCTATGTATTTGGGTTATGTACTCCAACATGAGATAAAAAATACTGTATTTTCGCTGTGTATGACAAATAATCTTCATAGTTTGACGTAGAAATGGTACATTAAATGCATCCTTTTTGTTTGTCTGACGAAGGTGTCATGTTACAAAACACGTGTAGCAATTTTGACAAGTGGTACATTTGAGAAAGGAAGGAAGTTCCAAACGATCATATTTCACAACCACCGGTGTAGAAATAGAGTTTAAAACTGCATGATTGATTCACGAATAATATCTTTGTATTCGTGCTACAGTTGAAATTTATTATTTCTGATGATCTAATTGGGAAAAACACCTGAAGATACGACAAATTATTTCATAGCCCTGTCTCTGTCCCTGAAAATCATCATTCTCATATTATTTCGTTACCAGAATGAAAAAGGACCAACTAGGACTCTAATCACCTAAAAACTCGCGTTGGAGACCTCAATTTTCAAGTGAATTCATTCTCACTTATTTTTCTGCTCACAAAATGGTTGCCTACCATCAAATCATTTTAGTGTAAATTAAATTGAAGCTCTAGTATATTGTTGTAGATGATAAACTGAAGACAGTCTTATTCAAAAAACACCTCATAGTGTGATTTCCATAGTTTTACAAAAACGCGACACTTGTTTCGCCATACAATGGCTTCCTCAGGCGTGTGTTCCCGCAGTGATCCTTAAGGGGTTCTCTGTATCTGTAGAGTAGGGAGGGTGACCCATTGTACATCCTCCCGTCGAATTATTCTCCTAGGTCATCATTCATACTGTCCTTTCCAGGAAGGTGGACAGGAGACAGGAGACATCTCCTTTATATTGGCAGGTGTAGGCCAAGACTCGCCAAACACAGACACTCTTTGGCAACCTTGACGTATCTCACGGAATGTTTTGGAAGGTTCCACGACATTACTGTCGTTGCCCGGCTTCTTCAACTTTCTTGGGGTTCCCTCCGTGGAGGTGCACAAGTGAGGGAGCTTTCCTGCAGGGGCAACCGGTTCCTTACCTTTATTCAAGGCGGAGCTCCTGGGGCCCGCCGCAGGAAGTGCCCTTGCTGTTGGAGGTGGAGTGGGGGAGGAGAAGGGTGCACGTATAGTTGCTGCCACTCCTGCTTCTTTCGCTCTCTTCATCCTCTTGGCCTAGGCGCCACAAATGCGCTTACGCCTTGGCCTTTGTATTACATCAAGAGGTGATCTGCTATGTGCAGACTCATTCCAAGCGGTAACTCACCCCAATTTACCGCACTTCTGCCCAGCCTCGGGATTAGTTTTTGTTTTTGTTGTTTCTAAAGGGGTTAATATAAAGTCTTCCTTACGAACTTAATGTGAATCAAAATTGTTCCAGGCTAATTCAAGGAAGATCCATAGTACCTAATCTTTCCCGGTCTCAACACCAATTGAGCAACAAATCTTAGCGGTACCTTTCTAAACATTTTCTGGCTTGTGAATGAATTCAGAACTACTCGACAGTTAATTTTCAGAGCAAAATAAAGTACGCTGAACTATAGTAAACTGAAACAAATAAGTAATCATCAGCAAACTTCTAGTCAACTTCATTTTTTGGGTCTGATTTACCATCAAAAATTGCAGCCAAATCTGCGAGTCAACATATCATCACATCAAAAGATGACCATCCCATCTTCTTGGTCATTTTCGAAGTCTCCATTCTTTGGAATAATTGAGTTATTTCGAAATGTTACGTTTGATCTTCCCAAGGCATTTGGCCGTACTAAGTTAAACCTCGAAACGATGAGCAGCCACAGTCCTTCGCGTATTTCTGATATGTACCGCTCTTGGAGGAATCAAATGTGCCAAGTAACTAGAACACCTCCCGTGAAAGTATCTAAGCTGGGAATGTCACTGCTGTTGTTCGCATGGTCACTTGATGTTGACACTGTATAAGAACCACTGAAGGAATCTGCAAAACCATCAAGAATATCTGATGGATCATTGAATAGCTTGCCTTCATGTAACATTTCATATCCGATTCCATTCGTATACTTTGACCTGTTAATGAATGACCAAAACTAATTGGGGTTATGGATAATCTCGCTCTCAGTTCTTTGAATAATTTTTTTATAATGTTCAATAATATTCAAATGTCTGCTTTGATTTCTGCCCGAAGACGTTTGAATTCGTGAAAAACGTGAATGTCGCCGTTTCTTTTGTATTCACACCAGAATTTTGTATTCGAGAGATATCCATCAACGGGCACTAGCACGGAACGTTCTTTCAGGAAGCTGGAGAGCCAAACATAAAAAAAAGTTATCCAACAAGCCATAGCATCGAAGTTTGGTAAGCAAACCCTCATGCCCGTGTGGTCAAGTGCCTTAAAAATATCAAGCGGAAGAGCTCTTGACTCGCCACATTTCTCGATTGTCTCCTTGTTTCTCGATTGTTTAGTTTTTACAACTAAACATTGATTTTATAACTATCGGGGTACTTTTTGAGAGTTTTTATGAAAATTGTTTCTTGCAATGATCTCAGAATACGACCGAAACTGGTCGTAATAAATAATAACCTAAGTAGGAATTAGGCAAAAGTTTTTTTTCTATATTCAATATCAATTTCTACTTAATAAATAGGTCATCAATCGAAAAAAATCTTTGTTCATGAGGTATCTTCTTTCGTCTATTAGAAAACGTAATATCCACAATTGACGTTTGTTTGAAGGTGATTGACAGTGTTTCATGATGAATTTCACTAGTTCGGACTTCCATTGTCTACTATATAAAATGATTTGAAATCCCTGAAACAANATACCTACCAACTACTGATGCCTCTAATATCAAAGTGTTTCTAATTGGAACTTTTCAAAAAGCGCTGATCGATTAAAGACTGGTGTAATCAGAAAAAAACTTGGATTCACGTGTAAACTTACCAATTATTGAGACTATTTTCATCGTCCTTTGATGGCTCTTTACTAGACAACTGAAGGCCTTGTTTTGGATTCGTAACTTATACAAATACCTCGGAATCACTGAATTCTTGTTTTAATGGACATGTACGACCAGCTATCGCGACATAACAATTCCATTATTCACTGTGGTTCGGAATTTATTTTTGAGTGGTTCCTACTTCCAATCTGAAAACAATTCGTTTATCTAAATTTGAAATACGAGACCCTGCCGCCCAAATCGGAGTGGTTAAAAAGTATATTGAAATTGATGGTAGCCGTTGCTAATTCATTGTGTTTATTTATTATCAATGATTATCATTTGTCATGCTGGTTGTTTCCCCTTTGCATGGGGTGGAGTGGGGACATTCATAGGTTGGTATATTTACATTTGAAATTATAGTAGTCGAAAAGATCGATAGGAAAAACGAATGACTCATATTTTACACAGATAACAAGTCTCTGGAAAAAAGTCTAACATATCGCGCTGATTTTGACTAGGAAACTAGGTTTACCAATCATTTAAGAACCTGATAAGTTCACACTTTTGAACGGTTGAAAATTATTCAATTATTATTGAATCAAAGTAGTCCGAAATAACTTGAATTCGGTCATTCTCAGGTAGCTTTCCAGGTCATTTGGTTGATCTCCTTGGCACAGAATAGGAGTTAATATCCTGAAACAGGTCTGACAGTGCTCACCTCGTCCAAGTCGAAATAATTTCGAATCTTCACCTGCAGGAAGTCACTTGCAATGGGACTTCTTTGTGGAAACATTACATAGGAGTTTATTGATCCTTTGTCAGGTGCTATGCATATTTTCAGCTACCTGCAAAGCACAGGGTTTAAACACCTGCCAACTTGACAAACAGATCTCGTTTAAGTTTTGTACACTCCCTGTATTGTCTATTTGTAGATAATCTCATCGGCAGTTTTATGTGGTCATTTGCGTTTTATGAGTTTAGGTCTAGAACATAGACACATAAATCAAGCGCTCCATGGTTTATAAATTACAAACACTGTTAAAATGTCTAATAACTAAGGATTATTGAGTAGTGTGAAGAAACTTTCGCACATGATCTCAGTGAAGAAATTTTGAAGGAAACGAGCAGGCTGTTGATAGCCCAGTCATTTTATTAAGTTCACCTCGGAATTTGAGGTACCCAGCTGTAAAATCGAATATGAATTCGCCCCGGAGCGCCAATTAATTTTTGTTGTTGTATAAACTTGTATTTTGATATTCTAAAAGTTTTCTCCAAGGCCAAAGGTCACAAAAATCGATTTTTTGCACATCTCGTTTGCTGTGGGATTTTTGCTATCAGAAATCATTATTAATATTGTAGTTTGTTTCANACTACTGATGCCTCTAATATCAAAGTGTTTCTAATTGGAACTTTTCAAAAAGCGCTGATCGATTAAAGACTGGTGTAATCAGAAAAAAACTTGGATTCACGTGTAAACTTACCAATTATTGGGACTATTTTCATCGTCCTTTGATGGCTCTTTACTAGACAACTGAAGGCCTTGTTTTGGATTCGTAACTTATACAAATACCTCGGAATCACTGAATTCTTGTTTTAATGGACATGTACGACCAGCTATCGCGACATAACAATTCCATTATTCACTGTGGTTCGGAATTTATTTTTGAGTGGTTCCTACTTCCAATCTGAAAACAATTCGTTTATCTAAATTTGAAATACGAGACCCTGCCGCCCAAATCGGAGTGGTTAAAAAGTATATTGAAATTGATGGTAGCCGTTGCTAATTCATTGTGTTTATTTATTATCAATGATTATCATTTGTCATGCTGGTTGTTTCCCCTTTGCATGGGGTGGAGTGGGGACATTCATAGGTTGGTATATTTACATTTGAAATTATAGTAGTCGAAAAGATCGATAGGAAAAACGAATGACTCATATTTTACACAGATAACAAGTCTCTGGAAAAAAGTCTAACATATCGCGCTGATTTTGACTAGGAAACTAGGTTTACCAATCATTTAAGAACCTGATAAGTTCACACTTTTGAACGGTTGAAAATTATTCAATTATTATTGAATCAAAGTAGTCCGAAAT